GTTGACAATCCTGTTGCCACTCTCCTGGTTGTTTCCCTATGGCGCCTCTTAAGACGCCCACGGGATGATATTGGTTAGTTGATATTTTTGCACAACAATACACAGAATAGTTTAGTTTATACGTAATACGTATGTTACCGTTACAATTATAGTCCATTAAAATCCACTGCTGAAGGATTCCCCCATATATTATCTAATAGGCGGGATATTTGCTATAGTAGCCATGCTTGGCAACCGCTGTCTTTATATTTGAAGACGCTGCTGCTAGTGTTCGCAACTCCCGGATTGCCAGGGAGACTCTGGTAATAATGGTTAACATCCCGACCTCCCGGGGTGCAATAATTTCTCCGGTTTATCTAAAAATTATACGCATCCGTCGCTAACACTCGCTTTGCGAAATCCGCAAATATTAGAATGTTTCTCAAAAGCTAAGTAAATATAAGTTTCAAAATTGATAAATGATTGAGATTTTCTTTCATTCCCATGTACTCGATTACATAAAATTCTCCCGGATTGGTGCTTTCGAGAGTTGGTAACCTTAGCTGCTGCCCATCTCCTGATTTGTTACTGTCTGTCGCCTCCTACCACACCCACAGGATGGTATTGGGTAGTATTTTTATATTCTTACACCGTCACTACACGGTATCTATGTACATCTCGTTTACGACACACGTAAAATATTTAGACCAGCGAAAGGTAGCCACGTCCAAGGTGCAAGACGCCTGGTCCTGCGATCATCATTCCACCTGCTAAACGAGATGAGCCAGTGTCCACAAATATACTTCTTCCGGCTGATGAATGAGAAAGGAGAACCTTTGTGCTCAAACAATAATTATTACTTTCGGGTTTAAGGTATTTTTTAAATAGACTTAACAAAAATCATTAAAATCACTTATCAATTGAAAAAGATTCAGCGACACACACATACAGAAATACATTCGAACCGTAGAATACTATAATACACAATAGAATGGCTGTCAACCTTATTTTGTACGAGGGTCGGCGTCGCCGGGAGCACACATATAAGCAATTACGTTGTATTATCATTACTAAAAACCCGATTCGCTGTGTTGACAGACTGAGTAAATTTAAGCATTTTAGACTTTTGATTAATGTTAAATTAATTAATTAATGTTATGTTAAGATCATCAAAAAAATCGTTTAAATTTTAATACATATTTATTTGTAAATAGTGTGTAATTTGTCATTTTATAAATAATTTACATGCGAAATTTGGAAACGATTGTAATATGGAGTGCAGAAGTAAGGAGTACAGACTGTGTATTAAAAAGTGTCCATAGAAAACCGTTAAATATGGGTGGCGCCACTATAACTACGGGGTAAATTTTAAAGAACGTGCCGAAAAATATTAGTAGGATAGACGACTTTTTCGAGGTTATATTTACTAGATAAAATTATTTTAGATTTTAGAGCTACTGAGCAGTTTAGCAGCACACTTCAAACCGTCAACAACTGATAAGTTCATTTCATCCCAGTAGCTACTCCAGCGCTGTTGTGGAGAGTTTTTGAACTGTTATTTACTGCTTACAGATGGCCACTTTTTCAACTATTCTACTATGGGAGTTGGTACTCCTTACTTCTGCACTCCATAGATTGTAACGTCAAAACACATCTCGTGTTGACAGTTATTCGTGTGAATTGACATGTTAGTGACATTTTAGTGGCTACACGGGCTCCGCCCACTCCCCCGTTCTATTATGTATGTATTATAGTATTCTATAATTCGAACTGAACCGCCTCCTTTTTTGATGTCGTCTAGAAATGTTATCTATGGCACTCTAGGGATGAAGTCGAATTTATCGTCACGCCACACTAAAAATACGTTAAGTTGTTGAGGCTACAGGTCACATGGGAATAGAGAAATATTACAATCATATATTCGAAAAGTAACGCTTTTTTGGGGTTTGTCGGGTAAAAAACTTCAATAAATGAACAGTTAACTATTTGAGGCGTTCCATAAATCTAAATAAATTATCAAAAGGGCAGGATGATTGATCGCAATCAAATGATTTAATTAAACTAAGTGTGCGTTGGAGAAAAAAATGGCAGACATTTCACTTTTGTGAAAAACAAGTTAAAAAGAATGTTTGTGATGTAAGCGATCCCATTTAGATGGATAACATAACAGAAGTTTCTAAGCTTTATTGAACAAAGGTTTTTTATAGTTCATAACATCATCATATATAAAAAATGCATACAATTTAGACAAAGTGCATTTTTTGTAAGTCAATATTGACATTTTTGTTCAATGACATAATAAAATTGTGTCAAATTATGTATAATTGTGTAATATTAGGTCTTTACCAAAGACATTTAAGTATGTATAGTATATGATGTATATTTAAATCTCTTTGGTCTTTACCTATGACATAGCCTATTTTTGTATTTTTTGTTTCTATTAAAGTAATCACCCATGCAATCGATGCATATTTGCCAACGCAGCGGCAGTTTATTGATGCCCTTCTTGAAGAAATCAGCTGGACGGGAGGCAAGAAATTCTTCAAAGGCGTACTGCCTCTGTGATATTGAATTTTTTTCCCGCAAAAAAGTTATCCAAATACTGAGTACTACTGAACTCACTGACTACTGAAGTAGAAGTCTGTAGGTCTAGTGAGTACGGGGGATGACGGAAAGCTTCCAAACCACGCAGTTATATCTTGGAGACCCTCTGTTGTGCAGTAAGAGGTCACGCGTTGTCATGCCGGAGCTGCCAGGATGAGCACTTAACAAAGCTGAACAAAGCTAATTGGAGACGTGCTAGCTTCTCATCATTGTATTTAGTTCTTCACAGTACACATCTGCAGTAATGCTCATCCCATTTGGTAAGAAGCAGTGGTTAATTACACCACACCGGCGCTGGACAACCAAACAGTGACCACATTTTTCTAGGGTTAAGTTTTCGTTTAGGGCATTGTTTACCGTTATATATATATATATATATATATATATATATATATATATATATATATTTTTTTTATAAGTTACGTGTCGCGTTATTTGTCCGCGATGGACTCATAACTATTTAACCAATTTTAATAAAAATTACACACTGTGTACAGTTTGATCCAACTTGAGAGATAGGATAGTTTTTTTTGCCCATGAGTGATGCAAAATATATTTTTTTTTGCGAATTTAAGGATTTTTAATAGGACATGACAAATGGTCGTTGAAAAAGGCAGAACAACGTTATATATACATATATATATATATATATATATATATATATATATATATATATATATATATATATATATATATATATATATATATATATATATATCCATAATTCCTCATTGTAAGCAACTCATTACAAGCAAATGACTGATTGAAATGAACCACTGTCCTCTTATTTGAAAAGGCTAATTTTGAAAAGAAAATTCATTGTTAATTTTTAAAAAAATATTTTAAATTAGAATTCTTAGCCAAACAAAAATTTACTTTTCAACCAGCTTAAATTAGGTTTTACTGAAAACTATGCTTTGTAATTTTTATCTGTACTTACCTACTATTAATATATAAATTACCTTCCATATTTCATGGACTGTGGTGCTATTTTAACTACAACGTTATACTGAAAATACTATTCTGAGTGGTTATACAGAAACTTATAAAAAATATAAAAATGTACTTGTAATAATATTACCTTTTACTTATCATGAATTATACTTACCACAGGTATGCTTCGATATCAGTACTTACTTCAGCCCCCATAACATGACCATCGAAACACGATATGATAAAGCGATTTATCGCTATGAACTGTCAAAATACAATGGAATTTTGAAAGTTCAAAGCGATAAATCGCTTTATTATATCGTGTTTTAGTGGCCATGTTACTAGACGTTAAAAAATTCAGAACAGTCATATAGATAAATCTAAACCCAGGTGGATTTTGGTTTCCTACAATATTTTACTATTATCCTGTTTTTATCGACAAATTCCCTTGTTTTGTAATGTTAGTGAGAAAAGAGATAAAAATAAAACAAAATTCAGTTCATTATAAAAATATTGTTTGATAGGTACTTATGAACTAAATATGGGGGTAGGTAGTTAGTTGTCAGTATTTTAATTATCTTAATTGTATTATAAGAGCAGGTCTGGATTTAGTAGGACGTCCCCGTTTCCTTTTTTGTCCTGTAGTGCTTTCGCTTCCACAGGTGGAGTCGCGAGCTTCAATCTAATAGCGAGCCCTAGAAGGTGTTTACAAACGTATTTTTGATGAAACTGTGGGCAAGTGCAGGATCCTTTTCTCCATTCTACATTTTGAGTTTCGTTTTTAGGCACTGTGACTTTCCAGAAAGCAAAATGTTTCATCTTGTAATGTTCCAAAGTTTAACCACTGCTCACCGTACGACACCTCTCCTACTTGGCTACAACTACTACTTGGGATCAAGTATTCAGTGTATGCCGTGTTGGATGATAAAATCTTTATTCTTAAATCTTTCCTTGCCCAGCAATACCCATCGGTCCAATCCTTCAGCTCAATAGTAGGTGCTCAGGTAAAGCTCAGGTAAAGGTTCTTTGCAGCTTTGTAAAGACCACTGAGCAACCATCTCAGTGGCACTGGTCAAGAAATGTGAAAGTGGAACGTTCACGTAAGGTGTTTTGGTAGTTTATGTTCCGATTGAATGCTTCTAATGCATTATTTGTGGCGGGTGAACACGGCGCTGCGCCTAAAAACCAATTTGGATGTTTCTTTAACCATTCTTCTTTAAAGTAGTGAATGAACTCGGTTTGAGTCAAACAAAAGTCTGTGATGCAGCATTAAATACTTCGTATGGTGTAGCATTATGTAGTGCGTCTATGTCTTGTATGGAAATTCTGTTTCGTTTTATTGTTGACGGTTTTCTGAACTTTTTGGTGCATATTTTTCTTCACGTGAGCCCAGCACATACGAATAACTGGTGTGGTACCAAAAACTGCAATGAAAGCATTTCTTATACTCTGAGCAGCGTCACAAACTAAAAGTTTAGGTTGCATCACGTGATCAAATAAAGACAGAACCTTTTCTTTAAGGCCATCAAAATCATTTGAAAATCTTCTTGACGTTCATTCGTGGACACACCAAGATAAAGCGGATGGAACTTGCGGTTCTTATCAGTGGTACCAAGAACTAAAACGGGGAACCCTTGCCATATGAGTTTGTATGTGGCGTCTATGTGCAGTATGTCCGTGGAACAAACTATGTTGAGTAATTTTTTAGTTGACAATGCCAGACGAAAACTTGGTTCTTCCGCTTCTATCACGTGATAGCTGAACACGAAAACTTCATTTTCATCATCGGGAATAGTAGTTCCATCGAAAATCCATTTTTCAAGTTCATCTAAGTAAATTGCAGCTCTTCCGAACTTCTCGCGCCTTCTGTCATATAAGTAGTTGTTAAGTTGCCGTTTCGAAGGCGCCTTTATCCCTGTCATGTTGTTTAGAGCCTCTTATATAGCTTTTGGCTTTAGGCGTAAATCAAACAGCTTATTTATTTCTCCTTTAACGTTTTCCGGAATTCCGTACTCACTACGCGTACCAATCTGGTCATGGTTGTGCTCTGAAGTGGTCTTAAAAATAAGAATATCATTACAGTCGTTCACAAACAATAAATATAACGCACAATCACACTGTGGCCCCTTGGATTTTACCTTGTTACAACGATAGAAACATTTTTGGCCTTCATCACTGTCCCGAGTATAATTTCTTGGCCAAGTCTTTTCATTACTCACAAATTTCTCTGCTTCTTGTACATTATAGCACCGTTTGATCAACACCAACTTTTGTTACGACGATTCTTCTTCGCCGGTACCGATGGACCAGCTCCCTCTTCTTCCTCCTCCGACTCAGAACGGTACACAGGTACCTCATCCATATTTCACAACAATACTAAGTTTCCTTAATAGATACTAAGTTAGAAGTTACCTAAGTAGATTTATTAGTTTTTTGACATCATAATATTAAACCAATAGCAACAAAAACTATTTAATTTTATAACTTATACTAACAAAACACGCAAGGATCGGTCGTTGCAAGCCACAGATTAGTAATCTGTGTTTCAAGCGCGCTGCGCTCGGAACATCCATCCGAACTCGCGAAAACAGCCGAACACGACCCGACCCGATCGCGCGGGACAAACAGTTGAGGTATTTTCATCATTATTGAGAGTTAAAAATATATTTGATAACCAAGAATAGAAATTATAATAGTTCATGCAAGTCGTAAAAATATGATTATATCTTGTCGGAGGTTCAGTATTTTATTCGGAAGTTTATTTTTGTTATTCGAAGATCTATTTTTTTAGGAGAAATGTAATTTGACCGTTCTCTCCTTTGTTTGTTAAATTTGTATTTTTTTTTCGGTATGTATTGGGTTTTTTGACGGTAATTTATCATAATGCTGGTTAATTAGAATAATAGTCGGCCACAGATCGCTGGAGATTAATTTGTTTTTCGGAACCATTATTATGTCCCTAAAACAATGCACGCTAGAGTTCCCTTATCCAAGAGAATTTCCCTTCGTACTATTAAAATTTTGTAGAGGCAGGCAGTATATTTATTTTTTAAATTTAGTATTTTAAATGCACCCAAAACCTTCGCAGAAATGAGAGCAGGTCTATGCCCATTGCCCAACAGTGGGACTTATATAGGCTGATATAATAACTTTTAACTAAATGCATCTAAAATTATTTAACGGAAGATAATAATACGTGAAACGACTACTTACTATATTATATTGCAAATAAATAAATGCTTATAATTTCACAATTGCAATTTATTATTAAATGGACAGTTTTGACCACAGTAAGTAATTTCAAGATGAAATTTTAAACTAAAATTAAAGTACTTGATAGTGTAATTTAAGAAACATTAGTTTAATATATTATATCTTGAATAAAAATACCAAAACAGTTAAATTATTCAACTATATTTGTCAAATAAGAACTATTTTATACGTGGTTTTTAGATCAAGTTGTATAATTTTTATTCAGTCCATAGATTATTTTTTTACTGAGCAATAAAAATTTATAATATATTTTTTACATTTTTGAAAGTTAGAGATTATTTAAATAAGATTAGGTCGTAAATCAATTCTAAGAAGTACTTGTGGCGGCGCTGTGGTCGCGCCACTAGCGAAACATACCGAAACCTAAATCGCGCTATCAAAATTCTGAAGGTACTGCGATATATATAGAATACATAGATAACGTTGAAGTACTTCGATTATAAACGACGCCGTCTTAAAAACACTCCTCCAATACGTATGCTAGGGACCCCTGTCCCCTGGCATACGACAGCCAAATATTTAGGTGTCACTCTGGACACAGGGCTCACTTTTAGGCCCCACGTCAAACGAGTCACCCGTCACGCACGGTTTTACCTGAGTAGGCTCAACAGTATGTTGGGCAGACACAGTAAAATGTCCCTTCGGAACAAGCGAACCCTTTATAAGGTCTGTATACGACCAGTCATGACCTACGCGGGCCCCGTCTTTGCCCACGCAAACCCTAACATATTAAATGAACTCCAAATAGTTCAGAACCTCTTCTGTCGTCGAGCTGCGAACGCACCTTGGTACGTCCGTAATGCCGACCTTCATCGGGACTTAGAGCTCCCAACAATTCAACAGTACCTTAAAAAACTCTCTGAGAACTTCTTCAAAGCCTCAGAGTCGCACCCAAACAATTTAATTCGTGAGGCGGCTTCTTATGCAGCCCCACCCCCCCTCTCGCTATCGTGTCCGCAGGCCGAGAAACTCTCTCTCGGACCCGCCTAATAAACTTTCAAACGACCTGAACTGTCTCCTGGCAGCTCAGGCCAACTCTAATTAAATAAAATTATTGTAATATCTGACATTAATTTGCCTTCGTAGGCACTCCCTCAGCGGCACTTAGCCGCCTGCGCCCTCTTTTCCCAAAAGAGGGTCGCTCATGATAAGGCACAATAGAGCTTAATCAGCCGGTTGCCTGTCCCTAAAGGCGGTTTTTAGGGGGTATCACTTAGGGTCCCCGGTAGGACAGTGAGTCCCCCATAACCACGATAGACCGGCTATCGTGGTATGCGTAATGCATTTTCCGCCTCCCTACGTACAGGGTAGCCCTTTAATTGCTTCGGGCGCAAAAAAAAAAAAAACGTTGAAGTGTGAGTGGAGAATCTGGTTTCGATGATGTTGGTAATCGGCTGCAGATTCATCGCTCACTCCTTAAATAGCTACTTTCCAGGCTGGGAACACCTTGCCCGACGGGAGACATCGTCTAGCCTTTTCTTTTCACCGTCATATACTTTTTTTGCCGAGGAGCAGAGTTACCAACCCAAAGTTTATCTCGGAGGTAGATATGATTTTAGAAGTTTGTAGTTTTCTACCAATCCTACATTAAAACGTTGGTACCTAAGTTTTTTAAGTTTTCTAGAGACCTTTCAATAATAATGTGATACTCATAATTAATGTTTCTAAACTCCTTTTTGTATTAAGTGCGGTTTATATGAAGTATTACAAGGAGAAAAAAATTACTAAATAAATTATTGTTATTGAATAAATAATATGATTATATAAAACGAGTAAGAATTACTAAATTGGCAGAATAAAAAAACTAAAATTTAAAAATCGGAATCCGATTTCTCTCTATCCGATTACTGCTTTCTAACGACGTTTCGCCTGTCACATTATTAAAAGAATCAACAGTTTTGTCTACATTGTTATCTAGTCTATCTAATTTCGATTCCTCTTTTTTACTTTTGTTTGTTTTCGTGAAAGTCATTCTTGGATGTCTGTTCTTTTGCAACTAGTAACTGGGATTTTATCTTGATGTCTTGATAGTTAGCATTATCCATGATAACCGCTGCGTTTGGCTCAGGTCTCGATATCATTGCTTGAAACCAATTTTCTAACTTGACTGCATTCATCGATTCGTGATTATCGCCTGTACCTTTGCATTCAAATACCAATTCTAATTCTGACACGGATCCTTTTCCCCGCCATATATGTAAAATAATTAGCCGGTTGACTTAGGAAGTAGGATTCTTAGCACCCGTCGACAAACCCTCCAAAATGCTTGTTTTCGTGACTGCAGTGTAGTGTCTTCCTACAGTTTGCCTACAGTGAGCCCTGAAAAGTAAATGAATAAATTTATTATAAGTTTAAATATTTAACCACTTGATATTGCGAACATCTTAGGGGACCACAATCACTTCTGTCGATCCTATGCCCTCCCTCTTGTGACAAAGTATATATACGTTTATATTGAATTTTATCAAGATCAGCCCAGCCGTTTAAACACGATAATGTGACAGACAGAAAAACAGAGTCACTTTCACATTTATAATGGAATTAAGTCAGTCAGTAAATAATAAAATTAAGTCTTACCCGCATTCACCCAAGTTTCATCCAAGTAATATATTGGTCATTGTTGCTATCTATAAATTTTCATATTTTTCAGATATTTGGCACGCCACAATGCTATGTGATCTCTGTCGATTAACCCGTTATTTCTTCTTCGTTTGACATACTTAAACTTCAAATGCTTTAGTGATTTTTTCAACGATGTCAAGCCCATGTTTGGTAAGGATTCGTCTGCATTTATGACATGTAGCACCTTTTTTGGTGTAGGTAACTCTCTTTTTAAATAAAAGCACTATTCGTCTAATGCACGATTTATCGGACCCATTAATAATTTCAATTAAGTATCTAATGAGAGTTGTTTTTCGGTGATGCAGCTGGCTTGACGGTGCTGTTTCGGTATATTCTTGAAATGTACGATATATGGCCGATTTCTAAATGCCCAAGATATCCCAAACTCCCCTCAATTGCGTGTACTATCACAGCACCACCACTCCCAGCACCACTACACTAGGAACGGCACACCGCCCTCGATGATACGGCACGTGTTTCGCCTCAAAAATTGAAATTGAAAATGCTTTGTGAAGATACAAACGTGAATCATAGTAATTGGCTCATCAGGATAACACTAAATCGTTTTTTAAACGTGTACTATGCAGAGATTCCATAATAAATATTTTTAAAATTTTATTTTTATCTAACGAAAAAAATTAATAAAATTGAATGAAACGCTCGCGTCCGCCCTGAACAGCGATGGGCCGCCAAGACATTTTTGAGGTCGGACGGTGCATTATATGTTAAAAATTAATTCTTAAATTAAAACTTATTCGATCGACTATTCAAGACCTTCTAAAATTATTAACAATATATGATTAATTATTAATGGTTTTAAATTATTATTAAAATTAGAACTTACATATTTTATAATTTACATTTAAAATGATTTATTTTTATTTTTAATAAACACTAATATTATGTTTTTATTTACTTATTATTTTCAAGAATGAGGTTTTAGTGCTGTGTTTTGTATGGTGAGGGGCGAGGACTGGTTTTTCACTATTTAATTGAAACGCTTGGCTTCACTTTTCAATATTTTATTGTAACAAAATATTTTTAAGTGAATGCGGCGTCAGTCGTCTTATTAGCTTCAATATAAGTGTCAAAAAAATCTGAACCGATTGCGATTAGGCATTACACTTTTAGTTTTTTATAAAAGGTTCGTGCATGAGCATGTCCCCGGTTGCTAATTCCATGGGCTAATATTGTATTGTACTTACCGTCAGATCTCCTTCAAAGTGAGCACGCTTTTGATATCGTTTAATTACCTTGGTTGAAGTACGCTTCTGAGGATGTGATCATACATGCAGAAAAAAAATTGCCCCTTTACTGGTCTTGTACTAAATAATTTCTCACACTTTATTTTTAGGCGTGAATTTTGACGCATTTAAAATAGGTAGGTACCAAATACATGCTACTTCTATGAAATCTATATTACTCGTATATGTACATAATTATATTGAACTAATCGGCTGACAAAAAATCGTTCAATGCGCTGAAGTTCCTGACATGAACGTTCCACGCGGGACCAATTCCTCAACTAGGAGATCACTATCCTTCGCTTCCATGAGTGCGAACTTATCTTTATGTAAGTGGATTTATTTATGTTGTGGATCAAGTATTTAATAGGATATTATTTATAATGTCCATTGCCCATAATGTTTGAAGAATGCCGAATGTGAGTAGGCTATAGGATAAAAACTATTGAAATAATTACGTTGACGTAGTTTTACGAATAAGGTTTGTTATTTATTTGGCAGATTAATAAAAAGATAGATTAGGTTATGAGCAAACGCGTGGTGAATAATAATAATAATAATATTTTATTTCAGACTTTTGTCCATAAAGATGTTAGTAGAACAATAACTACTTAAAACTAATGTTAGTATTTAACATTTTTTTAAACTCAACAAATTAAATATCGCTCCTACGTTACAAATATCTTATTTATTTACTTTTATTCAATTTTATAGGTAGGCTCAACCGGTGCTTCATAATGTCAGAATCCCACCTATCAGCAAGTGTATTCAGGATGCTGTTGGTAGAGGTACGTAGTCGATTCAGCAATGAAGCGGACCTTTTACGTATTATGGCATGAAAGTCATCCGTGTGTGTCTCGACGAACATGGCAGAGGCACTACAATAACGCGGCCTAAAAGCACCCTGAACGCATTATTGTATTGTACACGCAGGACATTGTATGTCCGCTGCGTGTATCTAACCCACAAGTTGCATGTGTAAAAGCACTGACAATAAACTTTAACTTCTTTAGTACATCGTGCAAACCTGCGGGCCAGCATATTTCAGCGAACAGCCAACGCCCTGCGTTCCCTTTCTATATCCAAGTCATCCTCTAAGTCCTCTGTTACCCAGTGGCCTAAGTAAATTAAATTTGACGACTCTGTTCAAAGGACTATCACAGAGCTTAACAGTAGGCATGGTGAGCTGCCTTTTAGTGCCTGAATTAAAAACCATGAGCTCGATCTTCGTTATATTGTACTTGAGCCCATGGTTCTTTGCATAGGATTCACAGATCCCTAGCAGTTTTCTGAGTACACCTATCGTGGGGCTCAGCAGCACCATGTCATCTTAGAGCATAGCTTATGTTATTTATGCAAACTCCGTCTATAGAACAACCGACCTTAGTGCTGCTGAGCTCCACAATCAACTGGTTTATGTATAAGTTGAAAAGCGTAGGCGAACTCAACCCTCCTTGTCTCACCCCGCATTCCAGCCCATACCCCTCAGAAAAGCTGCTACCCCATCGAACATAGTTTATTTGTTTACTATACCAATATTTAAATACGGAGACAATTTCCTGGGGGATTCTCTAAGAATAGTAACAATATTACTGTACATATTATCTAAAATTAATTTGTGATTATCATTAATACATATATTATTACAACAATTCATAAACTCTTGTGGAAAATTTACGTCTTTTAATTTAGAGTGACACAATTTTTTATAAGTTTCTATTTGGTTATTATTTCTGACACCCCAAATTATTTTATTATTACAGAAATAGCTTACCACATTTTTTGATCTCAATAAGTTAATATTGCACTCGATCAGCAATGGGACATGTTCCGACCAGTAGGTATCATACAGTACAGCGACATGTATGACTGAGCGCCTTGCGGCCTCGGTTACAACGCAATGATCCAACCAGCGCCGACAACCGTGCGCATCACTAGTGTAAGTATAGCTGCCCGCTGGGAGGACCTCCAAATCAACACAAATCAACTGCTGATCCGTGCAAAAATGTATCAGTTCGTTACAAAATACATGGATGGAATGAAAGTCACCTAACGCAAATGCAGAGTCGACATTTTCATTTTCAATAATAGCACTTGTCACGCTCGTGCACGATGTAAATTCTATTAAATTGTCTACTGAATCCGTTGGCATATAAACCGAGAATATTATGTAAGTTAGATTACTATGGAACGCTTTAATTGCTGGAGAACTTACGAGGACACAATACGAAGCACCACCATAGGGTATTCCTGTGAGTATACCGGACGACGTATCAACTGCTGACTTACCAGTATAGCTGAAGTCTTGATGTATCTCGCCCAGAAACGTTATGTCATCAGATAGAAGCCATGTCTCCTGTAGCGCTAGCACGTCAGACTTTTCACGGAGATGTCTTACGCATTCCAAAGAGCGTTTAACAGATTTACAGTTGAAAGTAGTAAAGTTTGCTGTACTATACATGAAAGATTTTTTTAACACATTATCTGAGGTCTCCTGATGTCTGTACTTAAAATGCACAAATCTTCTGAATGAGATGCCGTCCGGCCAAAGAATGTCATTTAAAAAGACAGCAAGTTTTTGTTTAGACACGTATAATTTGAACGCATTATACTTTTTTCATAGTCACTTTTTCCAGTGTTACTAACTCGTTAGTTTTATTCCTAATGTAATCGACGATATCTTTTTCTAGCGTCTCTCTATGTACGTTAGATATAAATAGCGGAATTTTCAAGTCCGCTGATTTAAATTTCTCCTCAGGTTTTATTTCTGCTTTTCCTGTCTTACCTATAAAACGGTTACGCAATCTGCGCTTTTGAACTTTTATCCAGGCCTCTGGCGGTTCTTCATTTTTCCAAGCTTCAAATTTTTTTCAATATTTCGGCCATAGTTGGCGAAGTCTCAAAATTAACATCACAAGATGTATCTTTTATTGCGTTATTATTGTTAGTATACTTATTCACTACAATTATTTCGTCATCATTCATCTTGCTTTTGCTCGGTGAGTTGTGCATTGGAATAGGAGTTACTTTAGTGCCTCCTGCGCTGAATGATTGCCGCCCATCCATACCGTTATAAGCAGTCACGCTTCCAGATGTAAAGAGGTCAGCTTTATGCATATCTGACGCAGGTGCAAGTGCATCGACACTATCACGAGCACGACTAGCTACTTGTGCGATAGATATCTTTTCCGTCTGTACGTCAGTTGTTTGTAACGGTACATCAGCTGTTGATAACTCGTGCGACAAGCCCATCGGCCCACTGTCACCGAACGTAGTACCCACATCTAACAAGAAGGCACTGCACCTTCTACCTACCTTATGATGATGAGCTGGTGATGTGGATGTTTTTAAGAAAGATTTATCTTTCTTTAGCTCTTCCAGGTGCGTCTTGGTTACATAATTATCCTTGATGATCTTAACCTCCTGTTGCAACAAAACTATATCCTTCAGCAATCGAGTTACATCTACATGATCGAAAGTGATCGGCGGAAGTTTTTGTAGGTCACGAGCAACAAAAATGGGTGCACTATCTGGGTCTGTTTCTTTGAAAAGGCTAATGATGTCTTCTAACTCCCTTTGGGATTTCCCATCTGTACGCCGAGTTAATTTTCCATCTCTACGTCTTATATTTTTTATTTTACCTGAGGGCTTCGATCAACAATACCAACTAGATGTCGGGTCGGCGCAAGAAATCCATCTCAGTAAATAAGAGCGCACATGAGACGTGAGCTCTTGCACGCGAGAGTGTAGCTCGCAAGGCAATAACGGAAAAAAATAACTTTATTTGTTATAGCATAAGGTTGATTGCACACTAAATGTTATTTAATTTATGTCTTTTCATAACTTATATTCATGCGGACAGTATTTAGCTATGATTTTGTACGTGACCCGTTATCTAGTTGGTATTGTTGATCGAAGCCTGAGGGCAATGACGCGAATAGCAAACTTTTTGCATTAGTGATATCTTCAGCTGTAAAAGCACTACTACAAATTCGGACAATGCTCTTCTCGTCCATCACATCTGCTTTGTTTTGTATAAAGGCAAGCATTTCGCTTATCACAATATTACAATTTGTACATTTTACCACTTTGGACGCCATTGTCTTATCGTACAATGACCTTTCGCTTACGCTCAAAGCGAACACATGTACGCGCTTTGCCGTTCCGCGTGCAACTGCTGAATAATGAAGTTTAAATTGATATTATTTACGTAGCCTGATTTACCATTACATCTGCCCTATATATTATTTATCTATGGTTACACCGTTATAGCCTGTTAAAATCCACTTGTGAACATACAGAGGGCCGTGGTAGCTCAGATGGTTAGCACTCTTTGTAAATTTCACAGTGCGCGAGCAACCCGGGTTCGATCCCCGCCGGCATCAATGAAATTGTTAATTGCAATTTTAAGTGCTGATTTACCACGTGCTCGGCGGTGAAGGAAAACATCGTGAGGAAACCTGCATATCTGAGAAATAAGGAAAAAAATATTTCGAAAACATCTGAAGTTCGCCAACACGCATTGGGGCAGCGCGGCACTGACACTTTCTTGCCCTAAAACCCTCTTAGAAATGAGGGGAGGCCTGTGCCCAGCAGTTGGACGTATATAGGCTGTAACTTTAAGTGAACATAGGCTTTCCCCCATAGATTGCCTCATAAGGGGATATTTACCATAGTTGCCACGCTTGGCAAGCGGGTTGGCAGTTTTTTTGTTTTTAGTCGTTATTAGGAAGACGCTGCCGGCCATGTCATGATTCTCCCCCTCCCTCTGTCGCCTCTTACGATTCCCGAGAGATGATATGGGGTAGTGGATATTCGTACACCGCTACTACACGTGATAGCTGATTTTACGTAGCCCGATTGGACTTATTGTTATGAATTTTGCCCGAGTATTAATCTCTTGGTCCATAATATATACATATTTAAAAGTTATGGGCAGATAGAACGATCGGTGGGAGAAGACGGAAGATTAGTGAAGGCTATTGTTAATCATAAGTTACAAAATGTAACTTGTGATTAACAATAGCCTGCACTTAATATTATTGAAATGGTTTTAGTTCACAAAGCGATATTCGAAAACATATAACGCTAGGTTTTGCAATAAAATCTGCCAGTTTTCAATTAATCTGTTCAATTCATTTCGACCATTTCTACTCAGCTAAACCAATATTATTCAAATTGAGCCCGGAGTTCCCAAAACTAAATTGCAGTTTCACGTTTTGAGCTTTCATAATGGCCATCCCAAAATTCCGAATTATAATATGTGGTTGAACTTCAAAGCGCTTAAAGAGCTGAGAGTATTTGCTTTTGGGTTTTTTAATATGCGCTTTTCATTATTACTTATTGTTTTATTGGTCCTTTGACTGTAGAGAATAAAACAGACAATGAATATCGTACACTCTGACTATAACGTTCGGCAATTCAAACTGGGGAGATGGGTATTGATCTGGCTTACATACATTGTTTTATCAATGGATTATCTTGCTTCCCTTTTCTCGTCTTCATGCTCTCCTACTCTAGAATCTCGAAGATGAGAGGTATTGTAATTTCGGCCAACTGATTATTGGTAGGTATATCTTTTAGGCAGTAAATTGTTTTGGAAATTAGATTGGAGTATACATTTAAGTGATATAAGTATTTTCATTGGTCATTTAATGAAATCTGTTGACCCTGCAGGCCATCCCTGGAACTTCCCGCTCTGTTCGATCCAAAACGCTCGATAAATATTTTTACGAATTGATGGTTAACTCATTAAATCGAAAACGATTCGAGCAGAAATTATAGTTATTAAAAAAGAAAAACCTTTTTTGAAATGTTTTGACAACGATAACTTTCGAACGGATCAACTGATTTTAACGTAATTGGTAACAATCGACAAGGTATTTTAAGAACAATTATAAAATTTATTATAAAAAAAAAACCAATTAGACTATAATTCAAAAGTTATGTGAAAAAAGAAACACTTTTTTCGAAAATTTTCGTTATCCATTTCTCTTTAACGCGTTAACCGATTTTGAAGCGGTATGCAGCGATCGATGTCGTTTTCAATTTTAAGAGCTGATTAGATTTTGGAATTGATTATCGCATCTGTTTGAAAGTTATTCAAAGAGAACATTTTTTTGTAAATTTTTTATTTGAGATGTCTCAAAATCTACTGGTGGTTTCATAGCGGGAAGTTGAAAATATAAAAGAAAGTACATGAATATAAGTTGGTGTCTGTTGAGGTTTTGTAGGCCAAGCGTAGTTGGTTGAAAACTGGTAGAAACTAAGCGTCTTTTTAATTGTATTTATCAAAAGTAAAAACAAATCTTCTTTTTTCGATTCTTTATCAACCTATAGCGGTCAACTGCTAGAACTGGACCTCTTATATTATAAGAATAATTACTTCATTTGGGAGCCAGAATGCAGTTCGCTGTTTCACTGTGACACGGTTAACTACTGTCAAATACTGTACTGCCATCCGTCGTTGGCCACGATGTCTTTCTGGCATTTGAGAATGGGAACGGTCTAAATGTGGTGATGGCTAAGACAATCATAGTTCAATACCCATAGTAGTAGATTATATCATGTAAGTACAGCGTATAAGTACATAATAAAACAAGGGCGGACGGTAGGGTTGTGAATTGTAATCTAAAATAAAAGTATCGTTTTTTTTAAATAGAATAAGGGTGAACAAAAGATCACAAAGCCCACTTAATAGTGAGTGGATCTATCCTCGATTAAGAATCGAAATGTAGAAAGGTTTGTCACCCTAGTTGACTAACATGGTGTGCCCGTGTCCAGTAAAAAAGGTCTGGAGATCTCTTTACTTACCACAAAAAAGACAGTAGCTGCTATTTCACGCTGATATTATGTGAGACCGTGGTACTTTTACGGTCGAGCCAGCTCATTCGTGCTGCAACCATATTATACCTGCAGCGTGACTCTACCGTATATCTACCAACCTATCCGTGCTTCCATTATTTTATTTAGATGTACTTTATAATTATACATAAATACAAATCTACTAATAAATATATACATAGATACACACAATCGTAACATTATTATCTCAATTGCTAATATTATATATATATGTAGTTTAGGAGTCCATCGCGGACAAACAACGTGACATGTAATTTTTATATATTAAGATTACATAATTACATAAGCCGTGGTAGCTCAGAGGGTTAACGCTCGCTGTATATTTCACAGTACGCAAGCAAACCGGGTTCGACCCCCGCCGGCACCAATGAATTTGTTAATTGCAATTTTAAGTCCTGATTTACCACGTGCTCGGCGATGAAGGAAAACATCGTGAGAAAACCTGCATGTCTGAGAAATAAAAAAAAATATTTCGAAGGCATGTGAAGTTCGCCAACACGCATTGGGACAGTGCATAGAGGGACGTACACAAATCTAAATATCCCCATCCACATAACATTGCAACCAAATATAGATTCTAAATATAACCCATTTAATATATTTTTCAAATATTATAAACGAATATCAGAGTTTCACAAATTTTCGAATTAACTATCATGTATCTTCTATTTTATTTAGAAAATAATTCTTAAGTTACTTTTTATTTGTTATTTTACAATAAGGCCTACCTTTCCTTAGGCAGTCTATTTCATTAAAAAGCTTTGATATTAAATAATTTGTGCATCTTTTACCATTGTAGTTTTTAACACAAGGCTCAACTAATTTTCCTTCTCTAACTTTCCTGGTTCTATATTTACTATCCACTTTTTGTTTGTAATGATTTTTATTAATGTTATCCAAAACTAGTAACATTTTAACATTGTGTTCTACCGGCAAAATTTATATTAAAGCTTAGTTCGCCTAGCTCTGTAGTTATGGTGAACGTATTGAACTTGACCCGGTTCAACGGGAACTACATCGTGACTCCCTTAGTAGTGAAAGTTACGCTAGTAAACAATGATTTTTTCAGGAACTTTGCCAAGTCTCAAGGGGGCATTGTTGAGAATACTACAATCTAAAACAGAATTTCGAATATGAAAGAAAGTCAAACATAAAAAGAAAGGCGAGAACTGCGTTTTTAAAATATTATAGTAGCAAACTAAATTGTAACAGATAATTGATGAAGCTCGTAAACCCTGCTACCAAGTTAAAGTAAAAATAGTTTTATTATAAATAAATAAATAAAAAGTATTTATATGCCATAAAAAATACAATGCTAAATTTAAATAGACAGCGTAGTAAGATTAGTACAAAATGGTCTGTGACTCAGTTGTAACGGGAAACTCATTACTGCTGATGTTCTGCCACAGCCTTTGCGCGATAACCATACTGGGTCTTAGGCAATTGATGAAAAATACGTATCAACAATAAATAAATATTGAATAAAACTAAATTTACGGATTTTATCGCGTTTATTTCACCACTTTTACTTATTTTTAATTCCCGAAGTTTCGGGTGCTTTACAGCAACCTTCTTGATGAAGATGATGAAGATGGATGGGTGCTGCCACCTGCTTGGGATCCTATAATTAACAAAATTAAACCCAAACCTAAGCATACCACTGCAAGACTTCATGATACTATAAGCTCGTTTTGCGTAAATCGGACCAAAAATTAATATTCAAAAACTGAAGGTAGCCGGGCTAACAATGACATTGGGACGTCAAACATCTCAGTCCCCCCCGTGACCATGGTTGCTGTAAAGCACCCGAAACGTCGGGAATTAAAAATAAGTAAAAGTAGTGAAATAAACGCGATAAAATCCGTAAATTTAGTTTTATTCAATGTGTAGTGTTCGCGTAAATTTAAGAAATCATTAAATAAATAAATAAATAAAACAATGAATAAATTATAGTTACTAAAGTACAAAAATGTTCTCTAATTTGAGGGAGTATCCCCATATAGAGTCAGGGACTGCTGTTGAATGAGCCACTTGCGGCATCTTTGGCGGAAGGTAGACGGAAGTAGGGTAGACCGGATTGGTTTTGGCAAATCGTTCCAAATTCTGGCAGCGGCAAATTTAAAACACTCTTTGGCTCCAGGCAGTCTCTCTAATCCTGGGTAGTGGAAGCTGATGACATTTTTCTCTGACTGAAAGCAAACTTTTTTTTTCAACTGCTATCTTATCATACAAATATCTTGGAGACTGCGTGATGCAACGTGTGCAGGAATCAGGCATATTTTAACTTTGTACTAGTAGACATATTTAAAATATCATTGTTTACTAAATAAGGTGAAATCCTATCCCTTTTCGGTACATTAAAACAAAAACGCATACTTGCGTTCTGCACTCTCTGTACATTTTTCTCAATTTTTTATTAAATTAGCGTGGACCATAAATAATATCACAATAATGAAAGTGACGTGGTACTATCCTGTTCTTAGAGTAATTACATACATACGTACAAATTACTCTAAGATCCTGTTACAAAGCAGCGGTCTTGTCACGTTTTAGAAATGTGGGAATTTTATACAATTTTTTTTAAAGAACAGTTTGCCGATTTTTTTTAAATTCTCATTCATGAGTGGACCTAAACTGTGAACAAAACCCTCGTAGGGTACGACGGTGTCAAAGATCTTAACAACAGGCCTCCGTTCATTAATAATTTTTACCTGGTGCTTTGTTCCAAGTGTACCAGACCACACCATGTTTCGAAGACCACTCCGCAATAGAATCTAGATCTTTGTTTAACTTGGAAATAGGAACAGCAACCTCCTCATCGATTGGCGTTGTGTGAACATATACTCGTACTTGGCTGTCATCTGCATATAAGTGAATTTTCGAGTGAGTTATTGTTTTAGTAACGTTGGCCGTGTATATTGCGAATAATGTGAGATCAAGTATTGAACCCTGGAATACATCTTTAATAAGTGGGAGAATGTTGGACACATTTAGTACATACATACATACATAAACATTCACGCCTGTCTTTCAGAGGGGTAGGCAGAGACTACAGACTTCCATTTGGCACGATCCTGACACATCTCTCTTGCCTCCTTCACATCCATACACCTACGCATACATGCTCGTCGGTTAAGGGTACTCCTAATTTGGCCCGTTTTCAATAAATCGCCAATTTGGTCGATAAATTTTCGCCTAGGACGTCCCTTTCCGACTCTGCCATTCACTTCTACACCATAAATTTTCTTTGTCACTCTTTCCTCATTCATTCTTTCCACATGACCAAACCACCGAAGCATTCCTTTCTTAATCCTGGTCACAACATCATCTTGCAAACCACACTCTTTTCTTATTACACAATTTCTTATGTCTGTCATTCAGATTCAGTCCTAACATACTCCTTAACGACCGCATTTCTACTGCGTTTATTCTACTTTCGTGCTTCTTCTGCCACACCCAACTTTCACTACCATACGTTAAAGTAGGGACCAACACAGCATTGTGAATTGCCATACGTGCCTTTTTCGACACATTTTGACTCTTCACAATAGAGTGCAGGGCCCCATTTACTCTATTTCTATTTTTTACATTTCGTGGTCGTGGCTATCCAGACATTGTACTTTTTAGCAGCGATTACGTAA